TGAATTATGGAATAAATAAATTATTATTGAAATTGGATATGTATGAAGTTTGTGTCACGATGTTTGTCCTGAATGTACTTCTAAACTACTGAACCGATTTTAAATTTTATTTAATCACCGTGTGCGTATATATCCAACTTAAGTAATAAGCTAGATATAAAGTCACTTTTTATATTTGAAGTATTAAAATTTTAGAAATTTCAATTAATTTTGACAGATGAATTTTAAGAAAACAAGGCACTGCAAAATGAGTTGTAAATATATTTATATTTATATATATTAGGGTGGTCCCTAATATGAACATTTTTGATTTCCTTGCTCCCAAGGGTTCAAATGGTTCCAAATTGATAAAAAACAATTCTCTGAAAGTTTTAGCTCTTAATATTGTCTTTTAGATATTCAGCGCAATTCAATCAAACTTTGGATGGAAATAGCATGGAAAAACTTTTAAAAATTTAAAAAATGTTTTTTAGCTGTAATTTAGCGAGCAAATAAATAAATTAAACATATTCATTTGTCGCTAAGTTATACGTAAAACATTTTTTTTAAATTTCCAAATTTTTTTTCATGCTATTTCCATACAAAGTTTGATTGAATTGCGCTCTATCTAAAAGTTAATATAAAGAGCTAAAACTTTGAAAGAATTGTTTTTTATCAATTTGGAACTATTTGAGCCCTTGGGAGCAAGGAAATTCGAAAATGTCCATATTAAGGACCACCCTAATATATATATATATATATATATTTTTATATATAAGTTTATATATTATTGCATCAAGTGGCAAACTTCACTTTTAGAAAGCGTTTTTTTAACACGAAACGCGTAAATATTTGAATTGTAAATTTGTTGAAAATTTTGCAATACGTATATGTGCAAATTAATTCATAATTAATACGGAAAAATGAATTTTTATTTAAATACGTTCTTGTAAAAAATAGATTGCGGTAAATAAAACGTCGGTATGATTTGACAGTTGAGTCAAAATGGCGTCGGCGTTTGACAGTTGTTATTAATTATTATGTTAAATTATTTACTTACTTCAAAAATACTCAAGAGTGTTTTATTTAATTATTAAATTCAACGAATAAAGAATCAAAATAGATAAAAGTTAAAACGTAAATAAAATATTCGAATTTAATAGTTGACAATTATCATTATAGTTACATAATTTTGACAGTTGTTTGAAAATGACGTCGGATTTTGACAGTTGTTATTATTATTTATATTATATTATTTACTTATTTATTTTATCATAATCAATAGTAATTCATAATTAATGAAATTAATTTAAAAAAATTATAGATTACTGTTGACGTGTAAATGAATCATTAGAATTTTACAGTTAAATATGCCAAATAATTTTGACAGTTGTTTCAAAATGGCGTCGGGGTTTAACAGTTATTATTATTTAATATGTATTTATTTATTTGTTAATACTCAAAAGTATTTCATAATTAATAAAATTAACTAAATAAAAATTGCAATAGATTACTGTTGATAAGAAATAAATGATTAGAATTTAACAGTTAGTTATATTATATAATTTTGACAGTTGTTTCAAAATGGCGTCGTGATTTGACAGTTGTTATTTTTTAATATTTATTTATTTGTTAATACTCAAATGTGTTTTATAATTAATACGTTTAACTAATTAAAAATTGCAATAGATTACTATTGACAAGTAAATAAATCATTAGAATTTTACAGTTAAATGTCATCTAATTTTGACAGTTCTTTCAAAATGGCGTCCAAATTAATACTAAGTAGTATTTGATAATTAACCGAAATAATTAAAAAAAATTGCAATAGCAATTACTGTTCACATGTAAATAAATTATTAGAATTTCACAGTTAAATATAATGTAATGTAATTTTGACAGTTATTTGTTATATTATTTTTTTAAATTAATACCCAATAGTATTTGATAATCAATCGAATTCATTAAAAAAATTAATAGACTGCAGTTGACAAATAAAAAAATTCTGATAGTTGTTTCAAAATGGTGTCGTGATTTGACAGTTGTTATTATTTATCAGTAGAAACTTATTTTACTATTCTATGTCTTTATGTAAGTTTGCTCATCAGTAGAGTTTTATTTTTATAATTTTAATCTTATATTTAAGTTTGCTCGTCAGTAGAGTCCATTTTTCATATTATTGTCCTACATTTGAGTTTGTTTGTCAGTAGAGTCCTATTTTCTTAATCTTTATATTGAACTTCAGTTTGCGAGTCAATAGAGATTTTTTTATAAGTTTTGTATTTCAATTTGCTCTTCAGTAGAATTCTGTTCTGCTCTTTTATGTAGCTATTTAAATAAAAAATAAATTTTAAATGAAAGGGATGAAATTACCAACAATAATTTACATAGAGATAGAGATAGAGATTTTTATTATATATTTTGTATTTCAATTTGCTCGTCAGTAGAGTCCAGTTCTTCTCTTTTATGTAGCTATTTAAATAAAAAATAAATTTTAAATGGAAGGGATGAAATTACCAACAATAATTTATATAGAGATAGAGATAGAGATTTTTATTATATATTTTGTATTTCAGTTTGCTCGTCAGTCGAGTTCTTTTCGTTTTATGTAGATATTTAAATAAAAAATAATAAATGAAAGGGATGAAATTACCAACAATAATTTATATAGAGATAGAGATAAAGATTTTTATTATATATTTTGTATTTCAATTTGCTCGTCAGTAGAGTCCTGTTCTGCTCTTTTATGTAGCTATTGAAATAAAATATAAATTTTAAATGAAAGGGATGGAATTACCAACAATAATTTAAATTATATATATATATATATACATTTCGTATATTTATACAAAATCTACGCATTTACTAACAAAAACGGGTGAACGACCTCGTCCATTACGAGCGACAAGGACAGAACGTTGTTTATATCGTTGTCTCGCTTTCTCGCCCTGTGCGCATACAGAACCACTTTTTATACGCTCTCTGCCATAATTTCTACATTTA